TGCATCAGCTGTTTGCAACTTCCTGTTTTTCTTATCATTTGAAAGTCAAATTATTGGGTGATAATAACACTATACATGTGCTTAATATTTTTCTCATATATATATATATATATAAGTATATATATATATTTAGATTACTGTAGTAGAAAAAAGGCATTGTTTTTTGTTCAAAGAATATCTAGTAACATCTCACAGAGTAAGGGCACTTTTATTTAAACACATGAGATACGCAAATAAAGTGACCTAGACTCAGGCTCCCCTGAGATGAATTCTTAGGGTTAGGAGCAGCTTTTGGCTGAGACAAGGCAGTACACCCTGCTCACCACCAAAAATATAATAATGGCAGTGAGGCCAACCAAAACCTGGCCAACGCAGGAGTCCAGCCAGTAATGAAAACCAGACATTCTAGAGCTGCTGGACATCAAGATGAAAGGCAAAGGCAAAAACAAAACAATACTAAGGTCAATGCAGAAATAGTCCTGTGATGAACACCCTGGAACAACTTGAAAAATTCTCATTCGTAAAAGCTTCCTTCTTTTCCTTTCTAATATAAATCTCCATCTCTCACAATTTGTGAAACATCGAGCCAATACTTGGATTCCTTGGATGAGAACAGTTTAGAAGGCAGTGAGGGCAGATGAAGGGCTTTCTGCTTTCTCAGTGGAGAGAGAGTAGGAGGCTTGATGGCAGGAACCTTGATAGGTACATATGATAATTCTCAGAATATTGAGTTTATCAGAACATCCTGTTCTTTGGTAAAATAAGGCCTTCCTGACACTATTATTCCTGACCTTGGGAAAATATTTATGAGTGTGTGTACAAAAGGATGTGTTTTTGTGTTTGCATCTGTGAAATGAGAGCAGTGAATGATGCTCGGAAAAGGCTGGAACACAGTTCACTGGTTGGGATGCTTCCAGGATTTTAAAAGGCTTAAGTCGGCATTCGAAGAGAACATGAGAATTTACCTTCACACCACTTAAGTCTTAACAAAAGAAGAATGACAATTAATATAGGGAAAAGGAGTTTTTTTCAGAACACAGGAAACTGAGTCAGAGAAAAATCCAGGCCTTGGATTCCAAGTTCCAATTTTGGCCTGAATGAGCTTCACGGGCAGTAAGAATCTATGAACAGCAAACCTTCATGAAGGGAAGGTAGGGATGGGATGAGCCAGGGCAGCCCTGTATAATTCAACCCACAACCCCCCTGGTTCTTAAAGGTTCAAAAAAATGACATAGTAAAAACAGGAAAGAAAAACATCCACCAAGGTGGCGGTGTTAGTCGCTCAGCCATGTCCGACTCTTTGCAACCCCACGGACTGTAGCCCACCAGGCTCATGAGATTCTCCAGGCAAGAATACTGGAGTGGCATTATCAGAGAAATGCAAATCAAAACCACAATGAGGTACCATTACACGCCAGTCAGGATGGCTGCTATCCAAAAGTCTACAAGCAATAAATGCTGGAGAGGGTGTGGAGAAAAGGGAACCCTCTTACA